CATTTCACTAGCTAATTATCTAGATAAAAATAGACCCTTGATGTCCGAGGTGCAGGCCACAACCAAGAGTATGTTGGCAAGGAAAATCCAAACAGCAGGCACTTGCAGTGACCCACCCCAGGTTGGAGGTATATACTCTTAGAAGGTCTGATTGTGATTTGAAAACAGGTATCCTGAAGGTCAAGGCAGAAGAACCAATTCCCCCCCTGCAGATTGCATACCTATCTTGAATTCTAGTTTGCAAATGAAAGAACTGAACTTTATTAAGTCCATCATTCCCTATTATAAGCAGCCTGCATCAGAAAGGAGGAAAACTCTTACCTAAACAAAAATCTCATGAGAAGAAAATTCAACTGAAGAGTTGCTTGTGATGGGCAGTGAAGTGAATTGGAACATATATATAATTCTGAAAGTATTCAATAGCCATTGGACCCTGGAAATTATGGATAGTGTTTAAAAATGGTAGGCCAGGTGATTGTTGAAGGAATGGGAAGAGGGGACAGCCCCTCTAGAGACTGAAAAGAGCCTCTCAAGGTTCCTTGCTGCCTGTTCCTGTATAAGAGAGCAGACTCTATGGCTGAAGATTGATTTCTCCTATGAAAGCTCTGGCATTTCCAGTGAGGTCTCATAGGTCAGAAGGTATATAGAGGAGGAAGAGGGAAGGGCAACAGGGAGGCATACCCCAAAGTAGAGGATGACTGGTACTTGTACCTTTGGAATTTTCTGGCATATCAACAGCACCACATCTTTTGATACTCAAAATCATTCATAGTACTCTAAGCTTCTTTGGGAAATCTGTAACTCTTCAGCCTTAAAGAACATCTCAGGACCCAAGACTATGACCATGAAGTAGAAAACAGTGTCCTATCATAACCAGATCCACTTATTGGAATGTTTTAATTACTGCATGCCTCTCAGGCAGGAAGACTGGAAGGGCTTCTTTGGATTACTCTGGTAAGGGTACCACTGTATCCTGTCAAAACACTGGTATACAGGGAAGTCATATCTGGTCAGAAGTGCTTGATAATTAGCTATTTGGAACTAGAGGTTAGCAGAACAAAACAAAAACCAACCCCCCCCCCCCAAAACTTAGGGTCAGAGAAATCAACACATTTTGATTTTTATTCTTTTGAGAAAATGTGGAACAGCCTAGTCATCTTGTTTGCCAAAGGTAACACCAAACAGAAGGACACCAGATGCATGTAACAATACCCAGCCTCCATAGGAAGAACTTGATACTTCTTGGCTACTTACTTTCAGGTGCAGAGAAAGAAGCCAGAGTCTTCCAGATCAACACGGTTATATGCAATATCTCCTTTAGCAGGGTCATAGTGCTGTAGTACATATACCAACCTATAAAGATGATCACTGACTTCCTCTAGTGAGGACTGAAGGACATGGCCCATATAATAAGGTTGGAAGGTACATCAAGGGTCATACAGTCCAGCCGCCTGCACAAAGGCAAGATGTGCTATTTCTAAACAATCCCAAATGAATGCTTATCCAGCCTCTGCTTGAAAGCCTCCAATGAAGCAGATTCTACAAACTCCTTGGGCAGCTTGTTCCACTGTTCTGACAGTAATAAAAATCTAGCTCCCCCTTCTAAGTTTTAATCTACTTTACAGTTTAAATTGATCGCTTAATTTCCTGCTACATGTCAAACCAGGTTCTGAAAGCCCCAGGGAGATGACTTAAGGGCAAGAAACTTATCTGGTGAGTACAAGAAGAAATTATTAGCTTTTTGGAAGTTGCAATCTTGAACCTTATTCAAAGAATTCCTCTCAAATCATGGAGCAAATCAACAACTGGCCTGAAAGACTCTGTGAAGGCAAAGCCAAGGAGAGGATGACTGGACAGCCCAACCTGTCCCCACCTACAGAAGGACCCATTCCCAAAAGGATCACCACAGATGAGCCAAACAAGACTACAACCCCTACAGCAATATAAATGCAACTTGAAAGATTAGTTTGATTTCAGGTTGCTTTATGAGATGCTCCCTGGTTTCAAAATCTAACTTCTCAGCCTCTTCCCACCCTACTAATTGGGACTTCTACTTGAGCATAATTTTCCCAATCCTCTACTCCCATCAGAAAGTCTGAACTGGTCATTCTGTATCAAAACAGATGGAGTTAGAGGTGTGCTTACAATCAGCAAACAGTCATTTTCAATTTATTTTTCCTGATGCACTTCTTAGCTTTCTTCATAAAATTATCGTCATTTTATCATAAAGCATATGTCAATTTACTTCCTTCAGAGCCAACGCAAATGTAGCTATACAAATCAGTAAAAGAAAGGTGATAAGAGAACAAAAGAACCTGTATTACACAAGTCAGGACACTTAACATACCTAAGTTTGGATTGTTTTCTGATGCTCAAATCTGTCCCCAACAGGTGGCACAGCATGCCTTGCAAATAATGATGGATGCTTTTAAAAATAATTTTGTACGTGCTTTACAGTATAGGCATACAGTACCGATAATGATTCTGAATGGAAGCATAGGTCCATTAAATCTCAGCAGGACCTAGGCTTTGTAATTGTATATTTCTTTGTACATTAAGACAAGCAGCAATTTATACTTTTCAGATGTGTTTAGCATCTTTCTTTTTTAAAAAAAACAACTGAAATGAGTTTGTTCTTTTGCTGAATTTCAAGAAAACAATGTTCAACTGAATAAATGTATGGACTGCATAAAGTTAACCACATAACTTTATTAATATTAAGTTATTAATAATAAAACTAACAATTTATTTCTATTTAGATAACAGCATTAAAGAGATTAATATTTGTTGGATTCTCAGACTTATCAACCTTGATGCTTCTACTATACAAAAGGAATAGTCTTTGGCATCTTAATACTAAACACACATTTATTGTTATAGAAATTTACAGGAAAAAATATTGATGTGTAGTGTGGCTCAAAGTAAATGACATTATGCTGGTACACTACTAGCAGAGTCTGTGTGTACATGCAGATATTTACTAAACGTTACAGAAATTTAAACAAAGCACAGGCTGACCATCAATTGATAAAAAATGGACATATCTCAGATCAAGAAGATAAGGAGACTATTGCTCATGGGATTATGCTTCCTGGCTGCAGTATTTTAACAGCATTTTGTTTGGGGAAGTTAAAGAGCTCACCAAAATATTTAAATTAGGCAAAAACACCTGCAACTCACATTTCACTTGCAATTTGCAGACCTGGCAAAGGACAGATTCATGAGCAGGATTTATTCACTAGAACATCTTTTAAAGCCAATCGGCAAAACTGAAGAATGAATAATCCACATGCAAAAAATCATTCAATCATCCCCATTAAAGGACTGATAGCACAAATGAGCTCTTTTATTCTTAGGAGGCTAAACAAATTTTTCAAAAGAGAACTAAAATACTTATCCAATAAAATAATGTTCAATATTTTAATATCCAAAACTGAACATTTACTGTACAAAATGGTTAGAAAGACATTAGGGACTGAAGAACTAGCTTAGAAAAAATGTTTAACTGTTAAGATATAGGAAATCTATCAGTTTAGGTATTATTAATATCTAAAATGCTTCAGTATAGGAGTCTGTACAAATGTGGTTCTACAAATGTTTGGAATCAGCACACTAACCCCCAATACAACTCTTAAAATAATCATGAAGGATAAACATGTTCAGAACACACATTTTTTTAAGGTTGGAAAAAACTCAGCAGAAATATAATTTAAAAAAAATAATTTATCTGTATATTTCCAAATATCGCAATGTCAACTTGCTTGCCACACAAGTGTAATGTACTGAGAAAGTATTCTTCCCACATTAAATGCACTGATTGTGTACCACATAGCTTGGTGTGTTACATAAACTTAATTATGTTCATATAAATAAATACACTTGCACCAACACAACTTCCTAAAACAAGCAATGCACTGTTTTATATATTCAATACATATTTTCTAAGAAAGGATCTGTGTCATTTTTTCCACCACTGGAAGTCTTTTAATAGAATCTATTTTGTTTCCTATTTTATAACCATTATTTATTATGACCCTAAAAAGGCACCTAGAAAATATGTGAAGTATTCAAAATGTAAATATGTGCAAACAAAGATAAAATATACTGTAGTAAGCACTGGTGCAGGAAAAGCTTACAATATGTAAAATGAAAAGGCAGAAATCATCTTTTCAAGACAGTTATCCAGTATTAACCTATTTAAGATATATTTGTCCCCTATCTCATCATTGACAGGCCAGTGTCACAAATATATGCTTAGTTCTGCTTGGCATCACTTTGTTAATGCTCTGTTCATTAATTTAGCAAACTATCAGGAGAATATGTTTAGAGTGGGCAAGCATTATCTCTTGAATTTCATTTAATTAAACTCTGCTATAGCAATGTGACAGTCAGCATTTCATGAAGAGAATTATTTTAAGGATGAAGGTGTAAAATATTTCAGTGTCCTGCTAAAACATGAAAGTATAATCTAAAATTACCCTTACACACACTGTAAATTATCTATAATATTAAAGATGTTACATCCAGAGTTAGTAATTAATTGGATTCCACAGAGAAATTATTCAAGCATTCTTGATAACAAAATGATGCACAAAGGCACAAAACATAGTGCCGAAGGACAACCATAAACAATCACTCCGACTCTGCCGAATTACAACAATCATTGAGCTTAATGCAAAATGAATGCTGGCTGCCTTTTGTATATGACCATTACTCTGCTGCAAAGAGATTGCCATTGAATTTTGATTATATTGCCTTAATAAAAAGTAATGAAAGTGGCTCATGCTCTAGTGGCTTTCCTTTAAGTGATACACAGCACTGATCTTGCAAAAGCCACTATGCCATGGGTTGATTGAGTATGACACTTTGTCTGAGAAAGGCTGTGTTACACTGTCATGGTAGATAACTACACTGATATTGGCTGGACTGCTCACAAAGCTTTTAACTAAACACTGTTGATGAAGCAGCACTTAGACTCCAGGTTAGCTTTTAAGACTTACCATCAATCCGACGAATAAGTTCTTCCAACATTTTCACTTTCTTCTGAATCCCTGGCTGTGCAAAGGTATAGTTGTCCTGAGGAGACAAATATAAAAATACATATTGGCAAAACTTAAGGTTTTTCCAATTGCTTATTGAAATGCACATATTGGGCGTTTGTCTCTCTAAAAAATAAAAATTCTCTAGGAAAGTGATTTTTTTTAAATCAAATCTCTAAAGTCTTCTATTATTAATAGAAAATAATCAATCATTCCACAGACACAGTGATAATATCCAGTGGCATCTGTTACAGTTTCGACTGCTTCACCTTAACTTTACTCACTAAATTCCTCCCCACTGAAGTTTAGGGCACTGTTCTAAACCACTGATTCTCAAAAAGGGTGCCATGTGATCATTTTTAAGGATGCCGTGGGCCTAGGGTGTCACACAAACACCTACACATGATTCATAAGCTAAACCCGGAAATTTCAAATAAGAATCCACAGTGTTAGAAACATTCTGACCTGCGGTGGTCTTTCTAAGTTCTTTGCAACAGGAGATTTGCTCTATTATTTTTCCATAGTCAAAAAACACCATGGTCAGATTGGTAGGGATTTTGAGGTTTTTTGCCTTACTCTGTAAAGGGGGCATGCCCCTCTTTCTTGGATCTCCCATTAGTATTTTAACAACCCTTGAAACAGCAGAACATAGGCCACAGCTGGCCCCCTACTACAGCAGGTTTGTGTTTTAAGGCTTTGTGGCCATGTGACAGGATTGCCTGTGCATTTTTAGTAATAAGTTAAACAAGGATGTGTTTGGGGTGATCCTGCTTCAGGCAGAGAGGGTTAGACTAGATGACCTCCAGAGCTCATTTCCAGCCTTACTTTTCTATGATTCTAGAATTCTATGAGTGAAAGCTAAGGGCTTATATTTTCCAAGGGCTGCGCTGAATCTAAAAATGTTAAGAGCCACTGTCTATAAACCTCTGACTAGCTTGCAAAAAGTGTCTTATTGGAAAGATAATACGACCTGCCATCCAGAAGATTCTATTATTTCACTGAAACATTGAATTTTTACCCCACGTTGACATAAGATCCCCAAAATTCCTAGTGACAGGAAGTTTACTTTCCAAAGTTCAGATAAGTATCCTTAAATGGTGTAATTAGTTACAAGTTCCACTTCCTTTCAGCTATGGCAACATACAGCAGTTGACGATCTCAGAACCCTCAGAACCCAGGACATAAGTAAAACTAAGAACCCCAATGTAATGTGCAAAAGCTTAACCTGAATGCACAACTATAGTAATTGGATATGCAAATTATTATAGATGTACACTCCTGGGCTTCAATATACTGATAATCAGATATCTTTAAAGTGTACAATCTATGAATATTGTTTATTATATCACAAAAGAGATGAAAACCTCCTGCCTACACTTAGACTTGGCAATCTTTTTTGTAGAAAAAAAGCCATTTAAAGATTCTGCAATGTATTTAAATGTCCCACTCATCCTTCAATCCTTTCCAAGTGCGCTTATGATCTTTTAGCATCATGGTTTCAAACGGAAAAATTAAAAGAAACCCCAGTAGCAATACATAATTTGAAAGAATGCAATTAATTTTTTTCCTAAAACATAATATATGTAGAGTAAAAAGACATTTAGAATGCTGTGCTGTTAGTTAATCTCCTTTTCTCCCATCCTGCAAACAGCATCTACTGATAAGCATGCAAGCTAGATACAGGTGAGTGTTTTCCCCTCGCTCCCCAGATTACATAAACCTTAACCAGACTTATCCATTTCTTTTGCAAAATTACCAATGCCATAATGAAAGAAAAAAAATCAGTATGTAAAAAAAAAAAAAAAAAAAAAAAAAAAAAAAAAAAAAAAAAAAAAAA